AGAGGGAATGGCGTCTCACTAATTTAGAAGATCATCATTTAGCCTGGAGAAATACTTTGTTGCTCTATTTTTTAAAAATCCCTCTTTTAAAGCTAGAACATGTTACTATTCATCACTGATAGAAGAAAATAAGAACAACTCTAGGTTCCTCTTCAGCACTGTAGCCAGGCTGACAAAAAGTTAGAACTCTGTTGGACCAAGAATTCCTTTAACCTTAACTATTAATGACTTCATCCATTATTTAGACTCTTTTTCTCCAATTGATCTTTTTGAGTTAACTTAAACAATTACTTCTTGTCTTTTAGACCCCATTCCTACAAGCCTCCTTTAAAAAGTCCTCCCACTGATTAATGCTTTAGTCTTAAATATGATCAACCTATCTCTATTCATGGACTATGCACCACAAGCCAAATGATCTTCTTATGACAGTGGACTCATCTCTGTGCTTGTCATGTAAATGGGGAGTCTTAATTACTTCCACAGAGCTAGCTTGATCTATCCATGACACCAGTAAACATGCACCAATTACTTAAAATGCAGTAATGTCCTGAAGACATAAAGACCTGGATGACCTCTAATTTTCTGCTTCTGAATCCAGATAAAACTTATGTTATTGTACTTGGACCTAACAATCTAAGACACATGGTGTAACCAGATGGTAGTTACCACAGTAATCGAACTTGTAACTCACCAGTTTCAGAGGAAAGTTGTTTCTTAATCCACTTAACACTGTCCTATAAATCACTTAAGAATAAAAAAGGCATCAAACTCAAAAAATGACCCAGTATTATTTCTGTACATAACAGGCAACTAACAATTTTCAACTGTATGTTTGCAAAACAAATTTTGTGACATTTGGTTCCATTTCTTTAGTTGAATCTATGAAAAATGCCAAAGATCAGACAGTTTGACAGACATTAAATAGTGTTTTTGGACCAACGAGGCAATTTTAAAAGAGGTCTTAGCTGAAAACTTGACATATTTCAAGTTTTCAGCTAAGACCCTTAAAAAAACAGTAAACCCTTAAAAAAACCAGCTGCAGACGCAGTTGCTCAGGACGCTCTCTATAGTCCCTCTGTAGAACATGGTGAGAATGGATGATGGGAGATGGGCTTTTATCAGCTTCCACAGGAAGTAGAGACGCTGTTGGGCCTTCTTGGTTAAGGAGCTGGTGTTGAGGGACCAGGAGAGGTTCTCCGCCAGGTGGACACCAAGGAATATGGTGCTCTTGATGACCTCGGATCCATCGATGTTAAGAGGATGTCTCTGTGCTCTCCTAAGTTCAACAATTATCTCTTTTGTTTTCTCCACATTCAGAGAAAGGTTGTTGACTCTACACCAGTCCCCTAGGCAGCATCATTAGAAGACATAGCATACATTTTCACTGCTATGCAGATGACACCCAGCTCTATCTGTCCATGAAGCCAGATAA